AGAGGAATAATGAGGTACCACGTGTGCACTAGAGTAAACCAAGATTAAAATTACATGTTTCGATGAAAACCTCTAACAGGATAGTTATTCATAAATATATAATAAAAACCGAATCCATGTTTCTTAGTAAAGTGATGAAAACTCTTAATCATGTTAATAACTATATGAAAATCTGAATCTCTTTTAAATACCCAAAATCAGTAACTATCTCTATTTTCGCACCTCCTCTTTAAATAGACCCAGTTTGGATGGTAGAAGCAGTCATCTGGCTACCGCTGCAATAATTCTATCTTCTGGGCAGACAGAAACTACTGTCTTTTGTAACATACGAATAATCCACCTCACTTCCCTCCGGACAAGGGAAATGTTCTCCTCCAAGAGTTCCAGCTGTAACTAAGGAGGTGCAGGGCCACTCCCACTGTCTACCAGGTGACGGTCCAGCCAGCAGCTGGTGGCCACAGCTCTCGCCTATATTAGCTGCCACTGAAAATGATCACAGCCGCTCTCTTTCACTGGCTGAATACACAGCGGGTATGGACAGCGAATATCGGGAAAGAATGGGGAATACTGTCCATGTTAAAAGAGAAAGGAGTAGGAGGCGGGGAGCAAGGAGGCGCTGAGACACATCAGCGGCAGAGCACCGCCTGCGCTCCTCTCCAAGTGCCCCTCCACCCCCAGGCCACACTGAGCCCAGGCACCTGGGCAGCCGGGCAGCCAAATGTCACTAACCAGGTCAGGGCCTGAAACTCAAAAGGCTAACTCCAATGAGAAGCAAGATGGTAAGCTTGGATCGGCAGTGAGACACTGCAACCCATAAAACCAAAGCTCAACCTCTCCCTTAGGAAATCACATTCCTCTCCAAGAAGCCAATTTTATCTGCCCTTGTATCTAGCACCAACTTGTTTTCTTTTAACAAAAAACAATTCCTATGAAATAACTGAGAAAGCAAAGCAAAAAGAAACAGCTCTTCCCACCCCAATCCTCACCCACCCCGCGGAGGTCAGCATGGCAAGAGGACACTCTTTGGGGGTGGGGGAGGTGTGAGGTTATGGCCACTAAAAGCATTTTCAAAATAGGCTAGTAAATGCCAACTGATTAAGTCCTCCTGAAAAGCCTGCGGAAACAGAGAACATAATTAATATGTTGACAATGAGCATTCCGGCTTGTCTGATTGTCTCAGAGCACTCGAGCAAAACACAGGCCTGGCAGCCTGGCAGGGAAGGAACACACCAGCACTTTACCCAAGTCCTCGACATTAAGAAAGTGCCTGGGTTTTATGAGAAGCCCAGGCCTTTGGATAACTCAACTGAAGCGCTCACCTGAATTTCAGAATACTTCCAAATGTATCTGAGTTTATCAGAGGTCAAAGGACAACAAGAGAGCTTTTCTGTCTGTGTTTTCACACGAAAGCCAGCTACCTGGATTGATTTTGCATTTTTCACCTAGTCACCCAGGCACCATTTGATGAAGGTGGAGAAGGAACAGAAAGCAGAGTCAGAGATGATGAAATTGTGCTCTGTTACAGCACAACAGAAGGTGTCCACTTCTCTGTTGACACTGGCTATTTTAAAAAATACAGGCCAGGCCGGGCGCGGTGGCTCATGCCTGTAATCCCAGCATTTTGGGAAGCCAAAGTGGGTGGATCACCTGAGGTCACGAGTTCAAGACCAGCCTGGCCAACATAGTGAAACCCTGTCTCTACTAAAAATTCAAAAATTAGCCAAGCATGGTGGCAGGCACTTGTAATCCCAGCTACTCAGGAGGCTGAGGCAGGAGAACTGCTTAAACCTGGGAGGTGGAGGGTGCAGTGAGCCGAGATCACGCCACTGCACTCCAGCCTGGGCGACACAGCAAGACTCCGTCTCAAAAACAACAAATAAAATAAAATAAAAAAATACAGCAGCCTGGCTAAAAGCCAAGATAATTCCACTTAAATGTCCTGATCCATAGGACATCCTCCTAAGGTTTTGCTGGACTTATTTTTCTGCTGAATTGGGCTTTGGTCATTCTAGTTCAGAAACTGCGACAGTCTTGTACAACAATGATGACAGCACTTACTTGGAATCCTCCAGAATACAGCAACGTAAAATCTGTGGGCCAAGCCTCTTGTCAGATACAATGGAATAGATGGATGCTGTATCTAATCCTGAGAGTTAGTTCTGTGCAGCGCTCCCTAACAAAGCAGCAGGTCAAGGATGTACTTTTATCTACCCTTTTTAAAAAGTACCCCTACGGGGCACAGAGGCTCAAACTTGTAATCCTAGCACTTTAGGAGGGCAAGGAGGGAGGATCACTTGAAGCCAGGAGTTCAAGACAAGCCTAGACAACATAACCAGACCCTGTCTCTATAAAAAATTTAAAAAGCCCAGCTTGGTGGTGTGTACCTGTGGTCCCAGCTACTTAGCAGGATGAAGCAGGAAGATCACTTGAGCCCATAGTTTCAAGGTTGCAATAAGCTATGATCATGCCACTGCACTCCAGCCTGGGCCACAGAGCAAGACTCTGTCTCTTTAGAGAAAAGAAAAGAAAAAAACCAGAAAAAAGTACCCCTGAAAACAACAAAAAGAGAAGTTTTGATTTATAAGGGGCACACGCTAACCACCACTGCAAAGGCATGACTGCTGCCTCTGCCCCATGGGGTCCCTGAAGCTCTGGACCCAATTTTGCACATGTGGGCAGGCTCCATGACCTGTAGAAAAAAAGTCCATTAGGATCCTTGCGTTTTTTTCCCGAACTAAACTATTGTCATTTAAGCTTCTGAGTGACCAAGTGAGCACCTCACATGCATACACGTAATCATCTGGTTTGCTAGCCTCCTTCAGAACCCTCTTCTCTCCCCTGCTGCCAGAGGAAGGGTGGGGAAGTGGGCTCAGGCAGAGTAAATGGATGCAAGTGACACCTCCTCCCCAGTAAATGGCAACTGAACAGTCCTCACAACTGAAACACTGGCAGTGGGATTCATGTGACCATTCGTACACAGGCTAGTGGAGAGACGGGCATGACGGCCCTCTCACCTGAAAACAGAGGGCCCCTAGAAAAGCTCACCACAAGGAACATTTTGAGCTATGAAAACAACTCAGAAGCAGTGTGCTCAGAGGAAAGCAGCCTCGCTGGAAATAGGGCTGCATCCCGGTGCAGTAAAATGGGCAGAGGCGCTGGGGAAACACAGGTGCCACCACTTACTCGTTGCATGACCTTGGCTACCTCATTTCTGTTTTAGGTTCTCAGCATCTCCGTCTGTGAAATAGTAGTTATGACCATGATACCACCACCACCACGCTATGTTATTGGGAAGATCCACTGAAATACCAAATATACTATATGAGACTCCAGGCTCAGACACATTTCATTCATTGCGAAAAAATAAAGCAAATAACCAGTTGAACCAAGAATGAACTTCAAAATGATGGTTAGCCTACCTTAAGATCAAAGGTATAATGAGAAACTTCTTTAAAGAAATACAATTTTCCCTTGCATAGCAGTCATTTGGATAAACACCATTCAATCAGAAAGTAAGTCAGGGGTCATGCTAAGAGCCGAGGACACAGAAACAAGATTATCTTTGTCACCCTCAGGGAGCTTACATTTGTTGGAGATTTACAAAACAGCTGCTTTCATGATGGAGTCACCCGCAACATAGTTGCCTTTGAACTTCACTCCGTTGTCTATTACCTAAGAGTAAGTGACAAAAGCAAACATACTATCTGAGACATCTTGCTGTAAGTCCCAATCTTTATTTTGTCACCTCTCTTTCTCTGCCTCACTGTTACTTCTTGCACAAAGTAAAATAACTACAAGGCTCAGCTGGTTGGAGCAGCTCCATAAAAAATTTAGGCTTGGGACCACTCAGCAGTGTTAACGTGCTCTGATTGTGAACTGCAGACTTCACCACCGTTCACCTTAAAATCCAGTCCTCAATCCCATTAGTCAAAAACTGGCCCGTATTGGTTAGGCTCATCATTTGCTGAGAAAACAGCTCAAATCACATAACCCCCTGAAGACGCAGGGCCACACCCCTGGGTTTGAAGGCTGCTCACTAAGACTTAACAGATACACAGATTTATACCACTGGAGTTGTTTACGAACCTGAAGATTACAATAAATAAAACAGTTGCTATCAGTACAACTCCCCTTATTTTCTCTCAAGTCACCTGGATCGTCCTGACCCCGGGAACCCCGTCTGCAGCGTCAGCCCCCCTCCGTGGAGAAAAGATGGAGCCGGATTAAGCACCCAGTGCTAAGGCGACTAAGAGGCCACTGCCCGCAGGCCCTGCCGGAAAATACTCAGAGAGTGCAGCAGGCGCCGCGATTCCTTAGAAAGTGCTGGCGTGGCCTCTCCTGACACAGAAAGCCGGCTCCTGGATGCTTACAAAGGACTGGCCCGCGCAACACTGTTGCTCCTCAACCCCGGCCACACTCCAGGGACCACTACTGAGCTTCAGCTTGGTCACCGAAAACGGCGCGGCCCCCTCTACCCGGGATGTCGGAGCCCAGGAGACCCCGAGGGCCCCCAGCTCTTTCTGTTATTGCAGAAGGGGCGGGCGGGTCCGCAGCCGGGGGCCCCCCAGTGGCATTGTCCTGAACCGCCACGCCTGCACGTGGCCCGGCTAGAGCTCCCTGGCGAAGGATCACTTGTTCCCACAAGTGAGGCTGGCACGTTCTGAGCGGGGACGGGGGTGTCGGCTGATGTCCCCAAAACGATTACAGCCTCCTAGGCCCCAACAGGTCAACAAAAGTAAAAGTATCAGCGAAGAGAGGCAAGAGTTCTAGACGCGAGAACAGCGAAGTGGGTTGCGAACTGGCGGAGACCCCCAGGTCTTGCTGCTCCTTCCAGAAGTTTAGGCTTAAGTTCCCAATGCCTGACAATGCGGGGGCAGGACCGTGGAGGGCAGGAGGGAGAAGGCGCTGGACAGGCCCAGGAAGGCGGGGTTGGCGGGTCCCCGCCGCAGCCAGGCCCTCCGGGGGCGCCCCGGGACACCTGCGGCCGAGGCGCGGCTCACCTTGAGATAGTCGTTCTCCGAGCGCAGCTCCTCCATCTCCCGCAACAGCTCCTCTTCCTCCGCCGCTGGCACGAGCCGAGGCTGCTCACCCAGGCTGGGCTCCTTGGGGGTCCCGGGGACTGGTCGCTCCGGCGGTGCGCGACCCCGGGCATCCTCCGCCGCGCCGGGCCCCGCGAAACCCCCGGAAACCCCGCCCGGGATGCTCCGGCCCCCGGGACAGGAGCCCGCGGCGAGGGGCGCGGCGAGGAGCGCTGGGGGCTCGGGGCTGCCCGGCGGCGCTCCTCGGGCTGCGGGGCTCGGCGTCGGCGCTCCTCGGGGAGGTTCTCGGTCGCTGGAGCCCGTGCCAGATTCGGCGTCGCTGCTGGCGGCAGGGAGCAGGCGCTGCTCGTCGGACAGGGGTTCGGAGGGGCAGTCGGAGAGGTCGGAGCTGCTGTCCGTGTGGCTGATGCGCGAGCAGCGGACCGGAGACCCGGCCACCGAGGTCACCGCGAGGGTCACAGCAGGGATCCGGGCGGCCGGGGTCGGGGGGACGATGGTGCGGGCGGGTGGCGCCCGGGAGCCGCGCTTGGCTTTGCGGCCCTTGGCAGCGGCGGGCGGCGGCTCGGCTCCGGGAGGCTTCCCAGCCCGGGACAGCGGCTCCGCGGGCGCCACGCGCGCCGCCCTCCTGCTTCCCAGGGTAGCCTTGGCACCGCCCGCCGCTCTGGCCCCGGCGCCCGGCGGGGGCTTGTCCTTCGCGCCCGGGACGCCGCCGCCGCGCCGGGAGAGGCGGCCGGGCGCGGCCAGGGACCCCGGCGAGGGCGGCGCCTTGCCCGCGAGGTTGGGCGAGCGCGGGGCGGCGGACGCCGGGGCTCGGCCCGAGGAGGGGACGGCCGGGCCGGGTGCGGCGGGCCGGGCGTGCAGGTCCTTAAGGAAGGGTCTGGCGGGCGAGGGCGCTCGGTGCAGCCGCCGCCTCTCGGCCACCGGGTGGAGGTGGTGGTGGCGGTGGTGCTGGCCGGGCGGCTGCAGCTTCGCGTCCGGGGCGCCTCCGCCCGCGGGGCCGTTCAGCGTCTCCATGGCGGGGTCCGCGGGCAGCAGCTCAGGCGGCAGACGCTCCGGGCGGCGACGGCGGCGGCGGCGTGCAGCCTCCCCGCGCACTCGCTCATCACTGTCCCAGCCCCGCCCGGGCTGCGCCCCGCGCTCCCGCCGTTCCCCGCCCCCCGCACCCCGGCCCCAGGGATTCCCGCGGGGTTCGCTGCCGCCGCGCTCGCCCCTCGCTGAGGTCACCGTGGATCGAGTTCTCCCGGCTCAGCGGCGCGGCGGCTCCTGGCCGCTCGCATCCCCGGACCCCGCGCTCCGGGCTCGCGGTCACCGGTGCCGCGGCGGCGCTGGCGCGCGCGCCCGGCCTCCCGCGTCCCGCTCCCCGCCACCGCCGGCCCGCTAACGGCCCGGCCCGCCCCGCCGCTCCCGGCTGAGAGAAGCCGGCACGCGCGCGCCCCGCCGCCCGCGCCCTCGCCCCGCTGCCCGTGCGCATGCCCCGCCTCCAGCCAGCCGGCGCCCGCGCGGGGGAGGGGCGAGGGAAGGGGCGGGGCTTGCGCTTCCCGGGGGGCGGGCGCCCGGCAGGGACGGGGCGGGGCCTGCGCGCCCTTGGGAGCAGGCGCAGGCTGGGTCCACGCGCCCTCGCCGCCCGGGGACCTGCTTGCTTTTTGAGGCCCTAGAGACGCTGCCAGGAGCTAGGGAGGAAGGGAAGAGGGGGAGGCGAAGTGGGGGCAAGGGGCGGCACCGGCCACTTGGGGAAGGCATGTACCGCGGCTGACAACGCCCCCCTCGTGCCCCTCCATCCGCCGCCCACCTCCCCGAGGCCCGTCCCCTCCCCCGCGTCCTGTCTAAGCTGTGCCCCTGGTCCCCGAGCTCCTTTAAGGATCGCTGGTACCAGACACAGCTCTCGCGTCAAAATGGCACGGCGGGCGCTCCACAGTTGGCACCCCTGTGGCCTCGGGAGTTCAGAAGAGGAGGAGCTGCTGCCCAAACAGGAGAAGCCTTTGCCAAGCTGGGGTCAGAAAGGGAACTCGCATTTATAGTTCCGGCTGCGAGCCAGGCCTGCTGGCCACTTACTGGGCATTGTTTTATTTAAACCTCACCACAGTCCCGGATTGGAATTGCTGTCTTCGGTAAAGACTAGGGCACCGGCGCAGGGAGGTGAAGTCACTTGCCTGCGATGCCTCACCCAGTCCCTGGCTGAGCGGGCTTAAACCCAGGTCCTCAGGATTCCGAGTCCTGCAGGCTCTCCGCTTAGACAGCCCGGAGCCCGGGCACCGGTTCTACCTCTCGAAGGCACTAGACCTTTCTGAGCCCCAGTTCCCTCGCCTGCATCATTAAAACGTACTGCCACCTGAGTGTGTGTGAAGATTGAGCAAATACCAGAACACACCGTGCAAACTGTAAAGTGCAGTTCACATCCCATTGGGTGCAGTTTATGTCCCAGGCGTTGGATGTTGGCCAGTGTCCATAGGAATAAGGGCCAGCCTGTCCTCTAGCCCTGGCGTTGCAGGAGACAGAGGGTCAGGTAATAATTACAAGGTGGAGGGCGGGAGCGTAACCCCGCCTGGGAAGGCTTGCATTTTCCTGGAAGGACGGGTTGGTCTCGCAGCTGAGGGCCCAGGACACAGTAGAGCCAGCAGAGAGCAGGGCCCCTAGGCGGGGAGGCAGGTGGGTTAGGGATTAGAGGGGAGACTGGAGGGTGTGTGGCACCGAATATCCTACCAAGGCCGTTGGGCATTAAACTAGAGGCAGTAGCCAGGGCAATTCTGAGCAAGATGATCTGATGTGCTCAGAAAGACCCCGGGGGCAGCAGCCTGGAGGAGAGGGAGGTGGGCCATGGGAGCTGCGAGTGGCTGTGGCAGTATGCGCGGTGAGGGGGCCGAGGGAGCAGGGACAGAAAAGTGGGGGGGGGGCGACTCACAAAAATAAAGAGGAAAAAATCGACTCCAAAGTCTGTGATCTTAACCACAGATTTACCCTACTTAGCCATCTCCTTCAAAACAATGCAGGATGAACCCTTTTTTTGTAATCCTGTAAGTCAGGAGAGCCCTGCCCCGAAGTCGTCCTGCCTGGCCCTGGCTGAGCTCTGGGGACACTGAGACCTCGCCTGCTCCGCTGCTGTTGTGGTCTTTGTGAGTCGTTTTTCTGGGAATGCCTCTGAATGTGAGACGGCACGCACGAAACCCAATCTCTACGAAATCCAATTCCTTAATCTCCTTTGAGGCTAATGCCCTAGCCGTTTCTCCAGCGCTGGGAGAAGGACACTGTGGGCTCCGCGGTGGGCGTGGATGACCGCACAGCCCGAAAGGCTTGAGAGGTGTCGGCCGCCGCGCGCGCCGGGCCGGCTGTCCCCAGAGGGCGCTCTAGCTCTCCCCTTCCGCGGGAGGGGGCTCGCGGTCCGGCCAGAGCACAACCGACCTCTGCCTAGAACTTCGTCCAGAGACCCTGAAGCCTCCCACACCCTCACATTTCCGAAGAATTATGGCTGGGACTCTCAGCACAAGCTTGCCAGATTCTCATACCAAATACACTCAAGGAAAGGGCCCCCCAAGAATGTTTCAATACGTTAGTCTTCCAAAGACAGTAGCTTGATGACCGTAGGATTTGCAGCCAGCTTCTCTTTCTCTCAGGTAATAAGTCAGATAAAATTCATCCTCCGTATTACTTATTATTTGCCCGGCAAATGGGACTACTAGCCCTTTGTAAGGAAGTATTCAATCAATGCTTTCCCTTTTTTTCTCTCTCTTCCTTTTTTTTTAAGAGATGGGGTCTTGCTATGTTGCCCAGACTGAAGTCAAACTTCCTGGGCTTAAGCCATCCTCCCACCTCAGCCTCCCAAGTAGCTGGGACTACAGGCATGCACCACCCAGCCCAGCCAATAATGCTTTCTTTGTTTTCCAGTATTCAGTGAGTTACAGGTATAAAGAGATACCTGCTTGCATAATAGATGTTTTTAAAGTCACTCAAAAAAAAAAAAAAAAAAACAGAAAAGAAAAAGTAGCCCAGGTGTGGTGGCTCATGCCTGTAATCCCAGCATCTTGGGAGGCCAAGGTGGGCAGAGAACTTGAGCTCAGGAGTTTGAGATAAGCCTGGGCAACATGGCAAAATCCTGTCTCTACCAAAAAAAAAAAAAGCAAAAATAAGCTGGGCATGGTGGCGCACACCTGTAGTCCCAGCTACTTGGGAGGCTGAGGTGGGAGGCTCCCTCAAGCCCAGGAGGGGAGGTTGCAGTGAGCCATGATCACGCCACTGCACTACAGCCTGTGTGATGGGAGTGAAACCCTGTCTCAAAAAAATGGGAAGGAAAGAAGGAAGGAAGGAAGGGAAGGAGGGAGGGGAGGAAAGGAAGGGAGGAAGGGAAGGAGGGAGCAAAGAAAGGAAACACGTGATTTTAAAGTCTTTTTCTGTTAAATCAAATGAATCTAAAGGTAATAGGGGATTTACTATTTAGGGGAACTGTAAAGTGCTTATTCCGTGAAATAACAAAACCCAGCATGGGCATGCCTGTTTTCATCTGTGTGCCCTCAGATCCAGTCTTGCCCTTGCGCTACTCTGCGGTGAGCGGAAGCGTGGATTTCCAGGCCGCTGGGTTTGCTGACTGGGTTTGGCCAGTGGAGGTGCTGTCAGGAGATGGGAGTGGACCCAGAAGGAAGAAACCAGGTTATTTCTTACCCTCTTTACTGCAGGCGGCTTCTCCGGCAGTGGCTGGGTCTCCATGAGGAGTGGATTTCTGAGGTTCCAGCCATCACTGGATGGCCTGCTCCTCCTGGTAGCTGTTCGTCCTCCGCTGCCTCATGTCCAGGGTGGTAGTGGCTTCCTGTGCTTGCAGATCTCCGGGTTGCTTCACTGTGGCTGATTCCCTGCATTGCAACCCTGGGTTGTAAATGCTGGCACAAGGCCCAGGGCCCCATCGTCTCATCCCTCTGCAGAGGCCCAAGTACCGTCCGTCCTAGGGAGCCGCGTGCAGCAGTGCTGTGATGAGTAATGTTTGTGTGCTGTGTTCACAACCTCTTTGTCCAAGAACGGTGTGGTATGGTGACAAGACGTGAGACTTCGACACTAGGTAAATCTGGGTTCAAATCTTGCCCAAGTCATTTGCTGTCTGTGTGGCCTTGAGTAAGGTATTATTATCAATGTTATCATCATCATTATTTAACGCCAGTGAAATAATCTTCAACACTCTTAAAATATGAGCAAACCAGATTTTTCACTCAGATTCCAAACTCACTCAGAGAGTTAGAAATCTATTCTGTATCTATACAGTTATATAAAGAGAAATGAATTCTTTTTTTACTTGGTTTGACTCATAGACCAAAAAAAAAAAGTGACTTACTCAGGACTATGCTTCACTCTATACTCCCAGGCAGAATTACATGCAGAATTTCTATACCTTTAATACATTGTCCAAACCCAAGCATATATGTATCTTCCAGTTTTTCCCCTTATTTTAACAGAAAGGCACATTTGAAATATGAAAGCATTCCTGGTTGAAGTCATGAGAAATCATCCTCTTTGAAAAGAGTGGAAAGAAGAGGGAATTTTTCAGAGTGAGTGGCTTTTTTGGGCACTGCAGGAAAGTTACGTTTGAAAAGGGACAACCTGATGCCTGATCCCCCCCGCCTCCCCACCACCCGCCAAGGTTGAAGCTGGAGTCTGCATCCAGCACTAGGGTCTGTGGGGACCTCCCAGCTCTCTTTGCAGGGGTGATTGCCCAAATGCCACATGGGACCTGAAAAAGGCTTCATATCCACATTGGCAGCTGTGCGTGGTGTTGGTGGTGACAATGACAATAACTTAAGAGGCTCTTAAACCTTGAGGACATTAAAAATCTCCTGGTGAGACTGTTAAAAATGCAGATTATCTGGCCATATCCCCAGGGATCTGATTTAAGAGAGATTAGCCTGGAAAGCTGTATTATTATTATTATTATTATTATTATTATTATTATTTTGAGGTGGAATCTTGCTCTGTCACCCAGGCTAAAGTGCAGTGGCATGATCTTGGCTCACTGCAACCTCTGCCTTCTGGACTCAAGCAACTCTCCTGCCTCAGACTCCTGAGTAGCTGAGATTACAGGTGCCTGCCACCACGCCCAGCTCATTTTTTTGTATTTTCAGTAGAGACGGGATTTCGCCATGTTGGGCAGGCTGGTCTCAAACTCCTGATCTTAAATGATCCGCCCGCCTCGGACTCCCAGAGTGCTGGGATTACAGGGGTGAGCCACTATGCCCGGCCAGAAGGCTGTATTTTTAACAAATACTTTTGATGCAAGTAATTATCTTACTTCTCATTGAAAAGCACTGCATTAGTGTTTCTTTTTTCTCTCTTCCTTCTTTCTTTTTTAAAAAAGACAAGGTTTTGCTTGGTCACCCAGGCTGTAGTGGAATGTGCAATCATAGCTCACTGCAGACTCCAACTCCTGGGCTCCAGTGATCCTCCCACCTCAGCTTCCCAAGGAGCTGGAACCACAGGCACATGTGTTATTGTTTCTACACAGGTCCAAGTGTCACATGGCTTGTCATTTGCATTCTTCCTATTTCTGTTCAAAACTCCTTCCGCTACTGTGCGGGATGACCCACCTCTATGCATGTGAGATGCTGGGTGATGGATATTTGCTCACTTAAACCTGAACTAGAGAGTCCCAACCTAGCATGCCCTAGAGTCTGCTGGGAGAACAGGGGAGTCTCCCTGTGACGTGAGAACCAGAGGAAGTAGAAAGGTGAAGGTGTAAGGAGGCCCTTTCCTTCCTGACCAGTGGTTCTTCATAGGGGCGTAGAGTGCACCCACGGGGAGCATGCTAGACATATATTGCGGTGTTTTCTGTTGTCACAACAACTGGATTAGAGGGTGCTACTGGCATTTAAGTGAGGGCAGGGGAGTAGTTAGGGTGGCTAGATATCTTGCAATGTGCCCAGAGAAGGGTCGTCCCAGGCAGGATGAGGTGGCTCACACCTGTAATCCCAGCACTTTGGGTGGCTGAGGTGGTGGATCACTTGAGTCCAGGAGTTTGAGACCAGCCTGGCCAACAGGATGAAACCCTGTCTCTACTAAAAATACAAAAATTAGCCGGGCGTCGTGGCATGTGCCTGTAATCCCAGCTATTCAGGAGGCTGAGGTGGGAGAATCGCTTGAACCCGGGAGGCAGAGGTTGCAGTGAGCTGAGATCTCACCAGTGCACTCTAGCCTGGGCGATGGAGTGAGACTCCATCTCAGAAAAAAAAAAAAAAAAAGAGTCATCTCTCCTACTACAGGACTTCCAAGTGTCCCCTGAAACATTCACGTGGGTAAAAAAAAATCTGTTTATCATTATCTAAGGCTAGAAGTACATGTTTTACATGTAAATGCAACACTTTTACATATAAAGCAGTATTTTTTTAAGCTTTTAAAACATTTTTAAAAAATTAATATAACTTTTAATTGACAAATCATAATTACATTGACAGAGTGCACCATGTTATTTTGATATATGTATACTAAAGCAGTATGTTTTTAGGGCTATTTTAATATCAGCTGAATTTTTTTTTTAGGAATGAAACCACAATAGAAATCAAGACTGGACTGGGCACAGTGGCTCATGCCTGTAATCCCAGCACTTTGGGAGGCCGAGGCCAGCGAATCATTTGAGGTCAGGAGTTTGAGACCAGCCTGCCCAACATGGTGAAACCCTGTCTCTATTGAAAATACAGCAAAGTAGCCGGACATGGTGGTACATGCCTGTAATTCCAGCTACTTGGGAGGGTGAGGCAGGACAGTCACTTGAACCCAGGAGGTGGAGGTTGCAGTGAGCTGAGATCGCGCCACTGCACTCCAGCCTGGGTGAGAGAGGGAGACTTTGTCTCAAAAAATAAAAAATACAAATAAAATAAAGACTATTTTATTTGGAGATTTTCAATGCATTTTTTTATCTTTGATCATTTCATTGAGTCCGTGCCACTTAAGGGACTGGAGTCATGAATAGAACCCACCTGTATTTGTCTGTGTTTTAGCAGTTGCTTCTATGTAGAGCATCTGACTACTTTATTGTATATTTTGTAGTGTATCTGTACCTAAGCTTTATATATTGAAATAGATATTATTTTGTTATAAGTTGCTTTCTTATTATTTCTTTTTTGTATTACCATTAGAGAAGTATAACAGTTTTTAAAAATATATGGTTAGGGGAGTGACAACCATAAATAGTGATTCTCATTTCAAGAAATTAAAGGGCATTTGTTAAAAAAAAAAAAAAAAGGCGGGAGGTGGGGCTCTGGGGCTGGCAGGGTTGAGAAAGAGACAGCTCCTGCCCAGGGAGAGCCGCGATGTCCTGCAGGGTGCCGCCTTGTGGTGGCTTTTGGGATGGCACCCTTCCCTACAGGGATAAAATCAAATCTATTATAGAATGGTCAGTCCCAGGGTGATGGGTGTGTGTATAATTTAAAACAGCCTCCAGGTGGTTCTAAGAATCTTCTTCATCATGGGAGGCAGAATTCCCTTACACAACCTTTTGGCATGTTTGCTACATGTTTGCAACCTTTTGGCATGTTGCCTTGAAATTGAACATTTGAACTCTTTTTCTCTTAAAACATAACTGCTAAACTTTCAAAAATTATCCTGGGATTCTAGGCTTGTTGCACAGGGAAAATACGTTGTTATGTAAGGAAAACTAATCAAAGTTCTCTACCTTTCCTGGTCAGCAGCATGTGTTTCCAAAAAATTTAAGAGAAATTAACGGGTTAATTGAGAACATTCTACATCTCACCATGTTTGCTCTTATCATAATTCACCATTGCTGATTTCTCTACCTACAGAGTTGCTGAACCCGGCTTGATTTGCCCATAGAGCTGAAGCCTGAGGAACTTACATTTGTTTTGTCTGAGTTTCTTTCTCAGGAAACCGACCATCAGGCCTCCCAGATAGTATCAGGGAACTGAAACTTTTCAGATGACGGCATTCGGTCATGAGATGCACCTGCTGCCTATTGACAAATGCCCCTTCTTTACCTCTCCCTAACTCCCTGCTATATAAACCCCTAACTTCAGTTGGTTAGGGAGACAGATTTGAGACTGGTCTCCCGTGTCCCAGCTGACGTTACCTGCATTAAAGCCTTTCTTCCCCAGCAACACTCATCGTCTCAGTGATTGGCTTTCTGTACAGTGACAACAAGACCTGGCCTGAACCCCTGGCATCTGGCAACATTATTACCTGTCAAAACAGAAGTAGAGATTTGAAATAGAGGATGCCAGTTCCCATTTCTTCCTGCTGTCTGGAAGGAAGTCTGGCTTTCCAGCCCAACTCTAAGCTCATCTTTACATACATAATAAGGGCATGTTTACATGGAAAGCAAAAATAGAACCATGGATTTATAGAAAGTTCCGTAGCAGCAAATAACAGTGCTTATGAAACAAACATTTTAAGTATCATTCCTGTGTAAAATTATTGTCAGGCATACTTTACCAATGAAGAGATAGAACAATGTGGGTTCTATGCCTGGACACAATGATTTGTTTAGTCACCTTGCACAACGTAGGCTCAGTCTTCCTGGGCGTTAGAGGCCTTGTCTATAAAATTAAGGAGTTGAATTTAAATAAGCTTCAATATTATTCCCAGCTTTATGAATCTGAGAGTTAAGGTGGACTTAAAGGTGCTATTTTTATTACTTTTCACATTCCTTTTTTTTTTTTTTTTGAAATGGAGTTTCGCTCTTGTTGCCCAGGCTGGAGTAGAGTGGCGTAATATTGGCTCATTGCAACTTCTGCCTCCTGGGTTCAAGTGATTCTCCTGCCTCAGCCTCCTGAGTAGCTGGGATTACAGGCGCGCGCCACCATGCCTGGCTAATTTTTTGTATTTTTAGTAGAGACAGGGTTTTTTCCATGTTGGCCAGGCTGATTTCAAACTCCTGACCTCAGGTGATCCACCCCTGTCAGCCTCCCAAAGTGCTGGGATTACAGGCGTGAGCCACCGTGCCCCACCCTTTTTACATTACCTTTAATGGCAAAAACCACAATTGCTTTTGCACCAAGCTAATAATTATCAATATGGGATTATTCACAATAAATTGTAGGTCACCTGTGTTCAGCCATTTCTGTGTCACCATAAAGAAATACCTGAGGCTGGGTAATTTACAAAGATAAGAGGTTTAATTGGCTTGTGGTTCTGCAGGCTACACCAGCCTGGCTCAGGCATCTGCTTCTGGTGAGGGCCTCCGGGAGCTTCCAATCATGGTTAAGGTGACAGGGAGCAGGCACCACGTGGTTAGTGTGGGAACAGGGGTTGGGGGAGGTGCCACACACCTCTAAATAACCAGATCTCATGTGAACTCAAAGCAAGAGCTCACTCATCACCAAGGGGATGGTGCTAAGCCATTCATGAAGAATCTACCCCCATGATCCAAACACCTCCCACCAGGTCCACTTCCAACACTGGAGGTCACCATCTAATGTGAGATTTGGAGGGAAAGAAACATCTAAACCGTGTCATCACCTCCGTTCATTCTCAGACAAAATACACTCAAAAGATGTTAACTAATTTTAATAGACTAGCATAATTAGGAAGGTTATATGATGGAATTAATATAACAAATGCTGGTGAGTCAAGAAAACAAACTCAGTTGTCTCCCACTCTACCCTCACAACACCATTCTGATGCCAGATGTACAGCGATTTTTCCCCTGCAAACAAGCAATTAATTCTGCAGTGGATGTCAGCTGCGTGTCCTCTAGTTCAATTCTGACACTGTCTACCTAGAGATGGCCTCAGATTACACAGGTTGAGGCCCCAGCCCCATAAGGCCACCCACCGTACTTCTGATGCTCATCAAAAGCCCCAGGTTGTGACCTGTGCTTCCAATCTGGCTATAAATCGGGATTCCCATGACCCCCTCCTTGGCTTTGATTGATTTGCTAGAGCAGCTCACAGAACCCAGGGAAACATGTTTACTGGTTTATTATAAAGGATATTACAAAGGACACAGAAGAAAAGATGCACAGGGTGAAGTATGGGGAAAGCGACGTGGAGCTTCCATGGGCATATCAGCCTCCGGGAACCTCCGCGAGTTCAGTGATCCAGAAGCTCCCTGAACCCAGTCCTTCTGGGTTTGTGTGGAGGCTTCATCAAGTAGGCGTGAGTGATGAAACCATTGGCCATTGCTGATCAACTTAACCTTCAGCCCTTTTCCCCTCCCCAGAGATGGGGAGGTGGCGTTGAAAGTCCCAACTCTCTAATCCTGCCTTGGTTTTTGCAGGGACAGCCCCCATCCTGAAGCTACAGAAAGGCATTTATCACTTTGAAGAGTCCAAGGATTTCAGGAGCTATATACCAGGAGAGGAGGAGGAAGACCAAATACACATTTCACAATGTCACAGTTAGTTCTACATATTCCTGAATACCTTACTGGGGTAGAATGTTGAGAGTTAACCATGCTTTTGTGTTTTTCAATACTGTGGATTTAGAATAAGTAAATTTTGTATTTCCTTCTTTAGATATTGCCCACAGAGCAGTCAGAACACACACAACATTGATCAATTAAGTCTGTCATCTCATATGAGTGCACCCCAAAACAATTACAATAGTAACATCAAAGATCAGCGAGCAAAGATCACCATGACAGATAATAGTCATAATAGCCATGATAAATTGTGAAGTATTGTGAGAATCGCCACAATGGGACACAGTGACACATGCTGTTGGAAAAGTAGTGCCAATAGACGCACTCAATGCTGGGTTGCCACAAAGCCTCAATTTGTAAAAAACACAATATCTGCAAAGTGCAATAAAGCAAAGCACAATAAAATGAGGTGTGCCTGTAAATAAAGAAAAAAATGGCTGGACGCAGCGGCTCACGCCTGTAATCCCAGCACTTTGGGAGGCCGAGGCAGGTGGATCACAAAGTCAGGAGTTCAAGACCAGCCTGGCCATTGTGGTGAAACCCCATCTCTACTAAAAAACTACAAAAATTAGCCAGGCGTGGTGGTACACTCCTGTAATCCCAGCTACTTGGGAGGCTGAGGCAGGAGAATCGCTTGAACTCAGGAGGCGGAGGTTGCAGTGAGCCGTGACCGCCTGGCAACAGAACGAGACTCCATCTCAAAAACAGAAAGAAAGAAAGAAAAAGTTATATATATGATAACATATAAAATATATATGATAGAATACGTATGTGTATATATAATATATCTCACAGGATCTAAGAATGTGAGAGCAGAAAGAGCCTTAGAGCCCGGGTGTGGTGGCCCAAGCCTGTAATCCCAGCACTTTGGGAGGCAGAGGCAGGAGAAATGCTTGAGCCCAGGAGTTCAAGACCAGCCTGGGCAACATGGCAAGACCCCATCGTCCCCCCCCAAAAAAAAACTAGCAGGTCATGGTGGCGTGTGCCAGTAGTCCCAGCTACTAAGGAGGCTGAGGTGGGAGGATTGCTTGAGCCTGCGAGTTTGAGGCTGCAGTGAGCCGTGAATGCGTGACTGCATTCCAGCCTGGATAATAGAGCAAGACTCCATCTAAAGAAAAAGAAAGAGGCCTCAGAAAGCATTTGCTGTCCCTTCCTTCAACACTCAGCTTTAGGAAGTCCCGTGACTGGTGTCTTCTGGCTATTGTTCTTGTTCTGAAG